TCGATATTAGTTAAAATATTAATAAAAACGTAACTTTTTATCTAATGTCGTTCAATTTAAACATTTCGATCCCACCCATGAAACCTTCCAATGAAAGATTATTGCCACACTTTCACCTCTCATAATTCAACCATATAAGTTATTCTAATTAACATATCAAAAGTGCTAAAAGGAAATAAAGACAAACATTATAACCAAAAGAAAAGGAAAGGGCACAAAAGCTGCAAATAAATTTGCAACCACAGAGACAATCTTTGTTTGACAAATATCAGTACCACAAATCATTTGATTGCTATTCACTAACACAGAGCCAAGAATACAAATTTCCATGAATAATTGCTAAAGCAAACACAGAAACTACAAATTAAACTAATTAAACTACACACTATACAGCACACAATTTCTTCAGAGACCCTTTCCATTATTAATCAGAGTGATTCAAGAAAACCAGTCTTTGTGAGAACAGCATTCCTCACTTTGCTCAGATCTCTACCTTTAAGAGTTCTTCCGACTCCTTCAAACACAGAGAATGAAGAAATCTGAGTCCTTGCAAGCCTCCTTGCAATAAACTCATGTGGTGGTAACCTCTGATCATACTCATCATCATCCTCCCCATTATCATCATCTTCTTCTTCATCAAAGTTATTATTTCCACCATGCTTTATGACTTGCTCATTAATGTCTCCTTCATCATCTTCTTCTGCATCAGCAAAATCATGATGAAGCCTGGAAACCCTCTTGTTCTGCTTCTTGTTGTTGTTAATATTATAGATCTTGGACCAGTCCGGGATGTTCACTGGTGCTGATTGCTGAACAACCTTGCCTTCAATGGCGGAATTATAAGTACTGGTGTGAATATTGCTGCTGCTGTTAGTTTTTGGGATCATTCTTGATGCAGAAGGGACAGGCCTAGGAACAGAAAGAGGAACAGAAGAAGAAGAAGAAGAAGAAGAAGAAGAAAGAGTCAGTTTGGTCTTGAAAATTCCAGAAATATGGTGGTTACTGTTATTGTTCTTCTTATTATACAGTGGTTTTTCATTCACAACATCCCAAACTTCTTCTTCTTCAAAGTCTTCGTCTCTCAAAGATCTCCATATCCCACTGTGCTGCCTCCCAAGCTCATTTTTCTGCTCCATTAATGCCTTCCTTCAAAACCCAGATAACAAAAACACACAAGAAAACCACAAATTCAATCAGAAATTGAGAGAAACGAAAGGGAAAATTGAACTCAGAGATGGGTCAAAAAAGAAAAAGGAAGAGAACCCCAATAATCTAACCTTCTTGTTTCGCAGATTTAGAAGCAGAAATTAGCAGAAACTGGTGGTGATTCTGGTTTGGATTTGATTTTCTGTGAAGAAGAAGAGGCAGGAAAAAAAGGGCAACGATGACACAGACCTGAAGAACTTTGTGCTTACAGATCTCCTGAAGGGCTGCTCTCCATGTGTCTGTTTCCCTGAGAAAATGAAGAATGAAAATGCGCAGTAAAGTTGTCTTCTTCGTTTTACTGGCTCCATTTGACTTGGTATATAGTGGCGGATCTTCTCAGAAATGAGCCCCACGGACCGATATTCTATTAATGACAAAGTAATAAATTCAATTAATGTGGGATTACTTTTAATAAAATTTAATATGATTATATTTACATATTTATTGCAATAGAGCATGTGCATGTATCTAAGATTTGTAAACATGGGTTAAGAAATTCAATTTAGATCTTTTTCTTGGTTTTGCAAATAAATATGGAAATAAATGTAAATGAAATAAAAAAAATATTTTCTTGTTAAATTTTTACCATAATATTTTCTAAGTGAAAAAAATTCATTCCTTCCATAATTATCTTTATATTAAATCAAAAATCGAATGAAAAGTGTTTTTTTTCTTTTGTGATACGAATTAAAACCTTTATGAATAAATAAAAGGTGTGATGAGAAAATAAATGTTTTAGATTATGAATTAACTGTCAATATTAATGCTCTAAACATTATAAATTTGTATTTACAATTATTATTAATTTCTGATCGGAAGATAGTGATTTTATTTTACTTCTCACGTAAGGTTATTGTCATCTTGATAAGCACAACAGTTTTCTTAAAAATTCGCATATACATATATGTATACAATATATTTAAGCTTTTTTTAAACCACTTTATAAGTAAATTAAAAAGTTTCTGTATCAAAACACAAAGTTACCTTCTTTTTTTTTTTAACCTTTTCGAATTTTAAAAGCACTTCTCTTCTTCACTATATCTCTTGGCTGAAGCCACTTGCACATATAATTATATAAATTTATATATTATAAAATATGATATTGGACGGCCAATAAATAAAGATTAGTTAGTGTCAAAGAAAGCAGACAAAGTGTCCAATTTTTCCAATAAATAATGCGAGTTTTGTGTATCTGATTGTTAATTAATGCACACTCACGCTGACATCTTTTGCTTTATTTTTTTTGAAAAAATAATTAGATGTGGTAGGCATATGCTTTGCATAAAGCTCAACATAAATTGTATTATATTTATGATTTATAAATAATACAAATTTTTTTAGTAAATTTCACATCATAAATATTATTATTATAATATATTAAATGAGGACTATTTTTTGTGGTATTTTTTATTTATAAATTACTTAAAATTATCTGGCTTGGATTCATCCAGTGTGTGACACGAATTTTTGTTTTTTTCCTTCTCCCGACATTTCGTTTTCAATTTTTCTTTGGTTTGTTTATAGTTTTATATAGTAATCACTGAGCATGTCACGTGAAGGTAGACATCACTACTCAATAAAATAATAAATGGTTAATAATTAGAAAAAATGACAAATAAAGATTCCTGAGTTATCAAAACTACAGAAAGGTCACCTAAATAAACAAAATTACTATGAAGAATCTAGTTTCATATTACAAATATGAAATCTTTACGAAATGTCTGAAATACTTATCAACCAAATTGTGATTTAGTTTATTGAAATTGTCATTCGTTAAAGTAAACTTATTATTTCTTATAATCAACTTGTCATTTGGCATACTTTCAACCAAGTTATGATTTGATTTACTGAAATTGTCATTTGCTAAAATGAATTTATCATTTTCTATAGTCAACTTGTCATTTAGTTGAGAAACGTTTCAAACATTTCACCAAGATTTCATATTTACATTATAAGATTGAGTCCTTCATGATAATTTTGCTTATTCAGGTGATCTCTGTGTAATTTTGGTAATTTGAGAGTCTTCATTTGTGATTTTTCCTAATAACTAAGAAAAAAATTTAAAATTATAGAATGAACACGCACTTGCTGAGAAAGAAAGAAGGTAAAATTAGGGAGAAGATCTAAAACTGGATCATAAGAATTAAAATCAGGATGAATATTATGTGTAGTCTTTTATTATAATATCAGTAAGTAATGACTTTATTTTTAACTTCTTTCTAATAAATATTATTTTTCTAAGTCCTCTCATTCTAACTTTTTTCAAGGAAAAAGGTAATTATACGGAAAATTCTCTCTTCGCGGACAATTTTGACTGTCCAAGCAGACATGTACTTATATATGGACACCCTAAATAAAAAAAAAAAAAGTAACAAATGCGTGGATTGATTGATCACGTATTCAGATAATAAATAATTTAAAGTAAGATTGTTTTAACTTATACGGTAGTATATTTTGTCAATATTTAAGTATTTCAAAATTAATTCTCAAATGAAACAAATCTAACTTTTTAATTTTAATCATATCTTCAAATATAACGTAAAGTAATAATATTTAATTATAAAATAACTATTGTGTTTAAAAGAAATTTAAAGTCAGATTATTCTCAAAAGTAAAGTTGTACCTCTTCTCCTTTATAATTATAAATATTATTAAAAAAATGCTGCCATTGCCATTAAACATTTCATTGGAAAAAAATTAAATATTAACAAAATATTTTTAAATACTATTCTAATTATAAGAGCTAGTTAACTAATTTGATGAGATTAATAAAATAATTTAAATTAGTTATTTATAATAAATATGTGTTGTCTTGCCTAAAATATCTTTGCTAATAAAATGTATCGGTTATAACTACCATTGTTAGAAAGATTACTTTGGAAAAAATACATAAATAAAAGAGAAAATAGATTGGGGTCTTATATTTAGGATCAAAATAAAAATTAAACGAGGTCTTATACTACGGACCGGAAGTAATAGTATGTTAAGTTTAAATTTTAAAAGTAACAACGATCGGGGCAGAAAATACTCTTTTGTTTTTTTTGACCTTACAGAAAATACTATTTGATACTAACCGAATTGGAATTTAAAAATTAAAAAATACTTTATAAAACTATAAAAAAAAATAATTGAACTACTACTATAACGTTAGAAGATTTTGATGGAGAACTTTTACCATTCTCAAATTTAATCTAAACATGCTAAATATTGTTCTTGATTACTACTAATAACAAATTAATTTTAATTGTATTCATTACTATTGCGGCTTCCCTTCCCTATTATTGGGCAACCTCTTGTTTTAAATTGATGAAAATGACTTTGACCACACAAAAAAAAAAAAATTTGATGAGAATGATGGAACACTGTTTTATGAAATTAATTCACGAATATTCAAGACTGTATTTATGGATCAAAATTAAAATAAGTTTAAAATATAATAAAAATCATTACTTAAATTTAGACCAAATTTTAATAATTTAAAATTATAAGAACTAAAATCAAAATTGGATACTGGCAAGGGATGCAAACATGAGAAATTTTTGCATGCAATTGTTGTGCCACGTCACTCGTGATTAGTAAATAATAACATGCCACGTTGTATTTCATTGCAGCATCCCGCGTGTTTATTGGAGAATGCATAAACGACGCAGTATCCTGGGAGTACTGTAATTCTCTCCATGATCCCCGAATACTATAAAACACGTGTCGCTATACCATACGATGACTCCCAAAAAGGTCCCTCCACAGCAGCATAACCTTCCAGCTCAGCATCTCCTTCGTCTCGCTTCTGCTCTAGCGCCTTCCACCACCCTCCTGCACCCCGTAATCACCACCACCTTCTTCCATAGAACCTCAAATTTTCTTTTCTCTGCAACTTCCAACCATAATCCTCACTAACCTCCCGTCATGTGCACACACTACCACTCTTCTTCTTCTTTCTTGCTACTAAAAGGCGCCTCTAACCTTCGCTTTCTTTCGTCTCTGTCTAGACCGTCCTCTGTTTCGAAGATTCCGCTATCATCTGTTTCTTTTCCCAACCAAAATCTTCAGAACTCGAGCTTCTACTCGGCTCTTCCCCGCATTAGACGCTCGACTGCCCCTTGGAGCCACGGCATCGATTGGCGTTCCCCTCCCAGTCTTCGAGTCCAGGCCAGAGTTGCTGCTCTGCGGCCTCCGCCGTCTCAACGTTTCGCTACCATGGGTATGGATATAGTGATTCATAATGTATGTTGTAGAAACTGAAAATGTTTAGATGATTTGCTTTATTGTGGAATCTTCGGGAATGGTGGGATTTATCGTGGTCTTCTATCTTGTATGTGTTATTTCCTTTTTGATATTGCATACAGCATTATTTCTTATCGGTTCTACGCATGGTTTGATCATACCACATAGTTGGTGCATCTGGTTCAAGCCTCGACAGCATGAATCATTTTATTTTGCTCTATGGTTTTATTGTCAGTATTGGAGCCAGGAGTTAGTTCGTGTTTTTATATGTTCGACGTTCTTCAATTGAATAAACTCAGAGCGAATTTGAGTTGAAGTCAACAAATAGTAATCAATCGCACCGTTTAATGGTACTATGAATTGTAAATAATCTTGAACTTTTATATTTTGTATGTGTATTTTTATATATGAAAAATTGATTAAAACACATTTTTAATTTTATAAAATTTTGATGAAAGGGCGCGCTCACAAACGAAATATTTACTCATGGTATGTGTCATGGATTGATTAATTGATAGATTATTTTGTAGCTGCTTAACAGAGGGAGGGTAGAATTCTCATGAGACACTGAAATATTGTCATCCACGCACTGTTGTTAGCTGTAACTGAGGTTGAACTTTTACGGTTTCATGTGACACCTCCCAACCGAAAAATAAAAAATTAAACCAAAGACTTGATGTAGAATGTAAATTTTGAATATTTTATTGCTTATCATTGTAAAATGCTAAAGATGTTGATGCACTTTTCTTGAATTCAGCTTCTGAGCCTGCCTACAAGGGAATATTGACCAGTCTTCCCAAGCCTGAGGGTGGAGAGTTTGGAAAGTTTTATAGCTTGCCTGCTCTTAATGATCCAAGGATTGGTATGTAAAACTCGTCTATACTTAGACTTATCCCAAGTATTGTTGAAGGTTTCTTGAATATGTCATTATTTATAAATGCGAATGGTGCTTTTTTTCCTCTGATGCTTGATGTGTTCAAATAAAATCTTTTTGTGTTCTGGGCATTGCAGATAGGTTGCCATATTCAATTAGAATACTTTTAGAATCTGCGATACGAAATTGTGATAACTTTGAAGTTACCAAGGATGATGTTGAAAAGATTAGCGACTGGGAGAATACATCACTTGAGCAAGTTGAAATCCCTTTCAAGCCTGCCCGTGTCTTGTTGCAGGTTCAGATTGCTACTTTTATCATTAAGTTGGTTTGGAGCTATATTCTGCTCAACTGACTCCTATGTCTTTATCTTCATCAGGACTTAACTGGAGTCCCAGCTGTGGTTGATCTCGCTTCAATGAGAGATGCTATGAAGAATCTGGGCAATGATCCCAACAAGATTAATCCTCTGGTATGTGGCAAACTATGGAAAACTTATTCTTGCATCATGCACATGTGGCATGTTTTTATTTATATATTTGTTTGCGGGGTCACCTGCAAAGAAATCAAAATCTGCTTCTCTTCCCAAGTTTGAATGGTGTGACACCAATGGCCAAATGGCGTGGAAGAAGCATTTCTCCTTCTGTACTTGATTGTCTCTAATTAGTACGCACTTAATATATATTTTGCACCTATATTGTTATTATTTCATCTCTTATTGCTCGTTGATGTCATTATTCATAGGAATCACATAATCATTGTTCCAAGCTAATTTACTTGCACGTAGGTACCAGTGGACCTTGTCATTGATCATTCAGTTCAGGTGGATGTGGCGAGATCAGAGAATGCACTGCAGGAAAATATGAAATTCGAATTTGAGAGAAACAAAGAGAGGTTTGCCTTTCTTAGATGGGGATCATCTGCGTTCCGTAACATGCTTGTTGTTCCTCCTGGATCAGGAATTGTTCACCAGGTATATGTGTATGTTTGGATTTTGGGATTTGAAGGAGATAGTATAACTGTAATCTTTATCCTTGCACGATACCAGTTTCCGGTAACCAAGCCTATAGTTAGTTTTCTTGATAATTATCCATGCTTTAAAAACTTTTCATTCGTCAATTGTTCTCAGAGAATTCTTAAAGCTGTTATAGTTTGTGAGGTTCTTGAGAATTTTCCTAGAGCAGGCCTGCTTTGGATTCGTCTGATATACAACTAACGACATTGTGGTGAAGATGTTTGAATTTAGACTTGATTTAGACCAAAATTAGAGATTTTGACTTTGACACTGGTGAATTTGTAGGTCAATCTTGAATACCTAGGGAGAGTTGTTTTTAACACCGACGGCCTACTCTACCCTGACAGTGTTGTTGGCACAGACTCCCACACAACAATGATTGATGGGTTGGGAGTTGCTGGATGGGGAGTAGGTGGAATTGAAGCAGAGGCGGCAATGCTTGGCCAGGTATGTGGTCTTAACTGCTGATTTTAAAAGGTATCCGCCTGTTTATAAAATTTTAAAAACACATGCCACAAAATGAGAAATTTCCTTTGGAAGCATGTGTAATTAACATCTGGCCATTCTTCCTAGGAGTAATGACTATAAAAGTTGTTATGTATTTATATGGCATCTACGGTAGATATGCTGGCTGCTGAAGCATCGTATATTCTTTGCCGATTTGGATCTCTTAGGTGTTAATTATGCTAATTCAGAGTGAATCTTGTTCTTTATTCTGCTTGCTTAATGTGATGAGGCTATAGATTTTTTCCACCATTATAGTCTTGAGTTGTTTAAAATATTCTTGGCATTGGAAAGTTGTATTATTGAAATCCAACTTGGCAAAAATTCTTGATTTACCTTTAGGTAATGTTGTCTCTTGAAATCTAGGTTAGTTCAACTACTTCTCACTCTTGCTACTAGATTATGACAGCACATCGCAGATGTATATGCTTAATTTTGGGTAAGAATTCGTACTTAAAAGGAGTTATCCATTGATATTGTGTCATTTTAATGTTCCAGCCAATGAGCATGGTTCTTCCTGGTGTTGTGGGGTTTCAATTGTCGGGTAAATTACGTGATGGTGTTACAGCTACCGATCTGGTGTTAACTGTGACCCAAATGCTAAGAAAGCACGGAGTTGTTGGCAAGTTTGTTGAATTTTATGGTAAGTTTATTCTCGTGAGGCTGCAGTTACTGGGACTGTAATGAAATTCTAAAACTTTGGAGGTTTCTAATTTAATTTAGACGTGTAGGTGAGGGCATGCGTGAACTATCAGCTGCTGATAGGGCTACAATTGCCAACATGTCTCCCGAGTATGGAGCGACAATGGGGTTTTTTCCTGTTGATCATGTCACTTTGGAGTATCTGAAACTAACTGGAAGAAGTGAAGAAACAGTAATACTAATCTTCCAGTCTTTGTAGGAAGTTTCAGGTTTTGATGCTGAAAGTCTACGGTATGCTATTAACAATCATTTCATTTCTGTACCAGGTGTCTATGATTGAAACATATTTGCGTGCAAACAAAATGTTTGTTGACTACAATGAGGTATGTTCCCTTCTCCAGATCTTCTCATACTGAAACTGTATTTTGATATGAGAATTCAGATTCAAGTTCGGGAAAACTTATCTTATCCAGCCGCAACAAGAACGAGTATATACTTCCTATTTGCATTTGGAGTTGGGAGATGTTGAGCCTTGCGTTTCAGGACCAAAGAGGTATCTGTGATATTTCTAGTACTCTGAGTCTTCCTTTATTCTGATGCATCCCTTAATTTATTAATGAAGATTTTGCTTGCTCACTCTTAAAAGGCCTCATGATCGAGTTCCTTTGAAAGACATGAAGGCTGATTGGCTTGCATGCCTTGACAACAAACTTGGATTTAAGGTAAAATAGGTTTGTCAAGAACCTCAATGTCAATGACGAGAGTGGATTACACTAATTGTTTTCGTTTCTTTGTATAAATGACTTTTTGTCCTGCAAGATCCATTGAATATAAAAAAATGGCAATCATTCGAGTTACTGATACAACTTATTGATGGATCTCCAGTCATTTATATTTTTTTAACAAATGAAAAGTGTGCTTTATATGCTTAAGTGTGTAAGCATGTGCTGTGGTTTGTTATATAACGATGGAAATTTCTTGCAGGGATTTGGAGTGCCCAAAGAAGAACAGGATAAGGTGGCGAAGTTTACTTTTCATGGACAGCCCGCTGAAATAAAGCATGGTAGTGTCGTTATTGCGGCTATTACAAGTTGTACAAACACATCAAACCCTAGTGTAATGCTTGGGGCTGGTCTTGTTGCAAAGAAAGCTTGTGAACTAGGTTTGGAGGTAATTTTTGGAAGAAGTGTAACTTTCATTAGATTTTGAAGAATTTATATAGAGATTCAAGCATTAAGAAACTTAACAGGAACAATTAATTCTAAACAGGTTAAGCCATGGATCAAAACAAGTCTTGCTCCAGGATCTGGAGCTGTCACAGAATATCTGCTCAAAAGGTATGCCTGCCAGTCTCTGTGTCAATCATGAGAATGTTCTATGAGCATTGTCATCTGTACTGATATTTTTTATGAACTTTTTGTGTCAGTGGCCTTCAAAAGTATTTAAACCAGCAGGGGTTTCATATTGTGGGCTACGGATGCACGACTTGTATAGGGAACTCCGGAGAACTAGATGAATCGGTTGCTTCTGCAATTGCTGAAAATGGTATCACTGTGATATCCCTGTCGCTCGTGATATAGAAACTAATTTAACATGGTATAAGAGGTTGACTCTGATAGAGCTCTGCTCTAAATATAAATGCAATAGTATAAAATAAGAGGATACCGAGTGAGGGAAATACTGAGATTTTGCTATTAAATGCTTTTGAACCGAATCAGTCTTACAAAAGGGAACTCCACTGATTCTGGCTGGAACCCTATTCCCTAATGCAAAATGGACAATGAACTGAACACAACAAAGCAAAACAAGGTTCGTCACTGGTGTTTGAGAGACCAGCACTCTTCTCACTTCTATATGACTCTCAAAACATAGTATGAGTGCTCCCAAAAGCTAAATACAAAATATTAGTAGCAACAAAAAGTGAAAGGTTTCCTTGGGTAGTTACAGACCTTTTGTCCATTCAAGTGGATTTTGCCTAGTTATTCTATCTGCATCTTACTCTTTTTCTATGAAAATTTTAGTGCTGTTTAAGTAACTCTAAATTCATGTGCCTTTTTTTTTCCCCCAAAAACATCTTTAGCAATCTAATTATGCTCATTCCCATCCGTGCAGACATAATTGCTGCAGCTGTTCTTTCTGGAAACCGAAATTTTGAAGGCCGCATACATCCATTGACAAGAGCTAACTATCTTGCATCTCCTCCATTAGTGGTTGCCTATGCCCTCGCTGGCACGGTAGGCAAAATAAATATTTATCCTATGCCTGGTTGCTTCTGTGCCTCCAAGACAGAAATGCTAACACGTGAATTTTATATTGATGTTTTAACATTTGATTTACATTTGATCAGCAAGCAAAACTGCAGCAGATATGGGGGTTTTATATCAAGTGAACTGAGATGCAAAAGTCTTGCTTCCTTGATTATTTATGTTCTAGTAGATATTATTCTGAAGGCCTCACATAACCTCAAATTCATGCTTGGCACTGGTTCAATTACCGCTTTGAACATATTGAAACTTGCGGTATCCTTGTTTGGTGGGGCTTTTGGAGGGGAGGGGAGAGTGGAGATTGTTTGAGAAAACTCCCCTCCTCTCCATTGAGTCAAATAGGGGGCTGAAGTGTTGAATAAGTGAGAATCAATAATAAGATGATAATCACGATGCATTTATTAAAATTGTTTTTGCTTCGATGGTCTTATTCTTTTTTTTTTTTTTTTGGGTAACAGGAAAGAAATTCGATGGTCTTATTCTAACTGCAACAATATATTGGTAAATAAATATATTGTGACTTAGGGTAAATCTGATAATATGAATCCTAGTCCTTTTTCAACCCCTTTTAAGGTTGGAAAAAAATCATGAAGAAGAATTTTTGTCCTTTATTTTTGAGTGGCACTGTTTCTTCATTTGTTGAACACATTCAAATCAACTTCATCATTAGTAAAGCAGTAAATGAGTTCAGTCCTAGCATAACATTCCTTTTATCTGTTAGGTTGACATTGATTTTGATAAAGAGCCCATTGGAACTGGGAGGGATGGTAGAAGCATATATTTCAAGGATATTTGGCCCAGTAACGAAGAGATTGCAGAGGTAGTGGAGAAACAGAGAATTGTGAGCAAAAATGTACTTAATTGGACAAATCGTAACCATTCTTTCTTCTTTCATTTGTATAGGTTGTTCAATCTAATGTGTTACCTGATATGTTCAAAAGCACATATGAAGCTATCACAAAGGGCAATCCCTTGTGGAACCAGCTAACAGTGCCTACTTCTACTCTATTTTCTTGGGATCCAACCTCCACCTACATTCATGAGCCTCCTTATTTCAAGAACATGACAATGGACCCACCAGGTCCTCATGGGGTAAAAGATGCTTATTGTTTATTGAATTTTGGAGATAGCATAACAACAGATCATATTTCTCCGGCTGGGAGCATCCACAAGGACAGCCCTGCTGCAAGGTATCTCCTTGAGCGTGGAGTGGATTACAAAGACTTCAATTCCTATGGAAGCCGTAGAGGTAATGATGAAGTGATGGCAAGGGGCACCTTTGCCAATATCCGCCTTGTGAACAAGCTTCTAAATGGGGAAGTTGGACCAAAGACAACACACATTCCTACAGGAGAAAAGCTCTATGTTTATGATGCGGCAGTGGTTAGTCCCTCGACATGACGTTTTCCTTTTGGCTGTTAATTGTATATACATGGTCTTTCCCTGTATTTTGAGCATAAATTTCGCTGTTGGATTAGTTTTGACAGTGGTTTGATAGATGTTGCTTGATAAAAGCTGTCAACCAATAACATCTAAGCCATCAGTCATATATTGCAGAGGTTACAAAGCTGCTGGTCATGACACAATTGTTTTAGCCGGAGCTGAGTATGGAAGCGGAAGCTCCCGGGATTGGGCTGCCAAGGGTCCGATGCTTCTTGTAAGTTCGTGTACAATCCTCCGTTAGATCAAAACTTAGAAAATGAACTTTTGGTTTTGTTTATTAATTTTTCGAGTAAAAATAAAATGTAGAAAAATTTTAATGGTAGGGTTGTAAAATGCAGAGAACCTCATAGCAAATAGCAATCACTTATAAAAAAGGAACCTAACTATGCTGAGTATGGCATCTTCTATTTCATCCATCTGTGTTTGCTTCTGTCTCAGTGCTTATCAGTTTGAACTTTCATCCAATATCAGGGAGTGAAAGCAATAATTGCCAAGAGCTTTGAGAGAATCCATCGAAGCAATCTTGTTGGAATGGGAATAATTCCTCTCTGTTTCAAGTCTGGTCAGGATGCAGAAACCTTAGGACTCACAGGTCATGAACGTTACACAATTGATCTCCCAAGTAATATTGGTGACATTAGGCCTGGCCAAGATGTCAATGTTACAACAAACACGGGCAAATCTTTTACGTGCACATTACGATTTGATACAGAGGTAATTGTCTCCCCTTCCTTGCTTTCTTTGTCTCATCAGCTATTTGATTATCTGCCAGGGATAGATAAGGTGAAATTTTCTTGATTCTGAGAAATTATGAAAATTTCTATCTGCAGGTTGAGTTGGCATATTTTGATCATGGCGGTATTCTTCCTTATGTCATCCGCAACTTGACTAAACGATAAGTCTCTTGAAGAGATTCTCAAGTACAATGGATCGACAAAAACGATTTATATATCAAGTTGATTATGAATAGATACGTGAACATTTCATGCGTATTCTTAAGTGCATTTTCATCGCCTACTCTTGATTCACATGGTCGATCAATATCTTTTAAACTCTGTCTGATTGAGCTCATCTCAAGCATTGCTTGGTCAATTGTTCCTTTTGATCTTTTGGTGGTGTTCCTGATTTCTGATCTACAGGTTGAATCATGAAAGTTTTAATCCATTACCTAATATTGTCTCTTTCTTCATCACATAAATTGTATGGACGCTGACAGATGATTAACAGAAAAAAACATGATTTTTATTAGTGCTTCCAGTGTAATTCATCCAACATTGTTTACGTTTTCGAAATCATCTGGCTTGTGCCTGGAAATTTGTTTACAAAGAAGATCCTAGCACACTGAAATGGCGCTCTAAGGTTTTTTATGTATAAGGTGAGCGCAAATAAACTGCAATAAAGTGAAAGATTCAGAAGTAAGAGGTACACTTAATATTTCAGATGGTAAAGTTTATTATGTAGTCGTTCTGGTTCTTGCACCTCTTCAAATTACGCGCAAATTTATTTATTTATTTATTTTTTAACCTTGCACTGGTTCTCATGTAATCTTACATGTCAAATAGTTATTTACTCTAATCAATTTCTTCAATGAAAATATGACAGGATATAATTTTTATAGATAAATGTTTTCCTAATCAAATTATTTTTTTTAAAGAATTTCTATCTTTGTTAAGTTTAAATTAAAAAAGATGATAAAATACGACAATGATTGGGCTAAAGTTTTGCGGATCTTTTTCTGGCAAAAGAAATATTTTATTTTTGAGATGTGAACTGGATATTGTAAAAGAGAGAGATTGACATATTAAAGTAAACTAAAAATAAAAAGAAAAATCTCATAAAAAGAACTTAAAAATTACTAATTTTGTTATTTACAAGTTTAGTTTAGTTAAAATCTGTTAAAATGTAAGATCAATCTTAATTTGAGATTTAATAATTTTCAGATTATTTTCAGTAAATCTAAAATTTCAATGTAAAATAAACACGTAGTAAATTAATCAGACGAAAATGTTAACCATTCCAGGGAGGCCAGAGCTGAGCAAATTTTTTTGAATCTACCTCTTCCTAACTGACAGTTTCTTTCTAGTTATTTTCCGGGCCTCACTAAAATAAATCAGTCTCTAAATTTTGACTTATTACACCTTTCTACAATTTGACTTGATTAAAATTTAATCTCTAAACTTTAACTTGATGAAGTTAATCTTAATTTCAATTGTTTAAAGATTAAGGACTCGATTTTAATCAAGTCAAAATGTATAAGCATGGGTGAGTGAAAACTGAAAACTTCGGATCAAATGATTAATTTTTCCCCCCAAAAAAAAAAAAGATTTTTAAAAAGAAAGAAAAAGATAAAATTTCAAGTTGAAGATCGGAGGGATCCATTTGAATTTTGAGGCAAATCGACGATATTTCTGAAATTGAAAGTTCCAGCTTCTAAATCCCGCGAAAGTCCGGCGAGGTCTTGTAAGAGAAACGACGCCTTCTTCTTCTTCCCTGACCCTGATCCGATGGTGAAGGGGCTGCACGGCCAAAACCTCCCCGCCGATGTCACTCAGGTCATTGATCAGTTGGAACGCCACTGCTTGGCTCCCGATGGATCTCTCATCTCCAAGCCATTATACAACGATCTCCAAGTGGTAATTTTCACTCTGCTTCCGACTTCCTCAATTGTTGTTTCTTTGGTGTTTGTGAAAATTCCCATGTAAAATCGGGACATGGATGCTTCATTTTGGTTTAAAATCTTGCAGTGCTTCTGCTGAATTAACATGTAGCGTTGAATGTTGTTCGATATTCATTTTCTGAGTTGTGTTGCAGGCGAGAGAGGAAATGTGCAGGGAAAGACTGAGGTACCTGGAAGCCATGGTAAATGATTATTCATAGAATAACATTAAAGTCCTGAATTGTATCTTTATCTTTGAAATTTTATTATATTTGGATTTTAAACAAATGATATGGGACAGATATTTTGTTTTTGCTTATAGTCTTAGTTGGTAGCTAAGGAGGGTGTAAAAATTAATTCACTGATACGTATTTATATGGGTTGGCTGCAGGCAATTTACTCTGAGGCCATTGCAATGGTTGAGGAGTATCAGCAAGCCATTTCTGTGGCTAATCTTGGAGGAATTAGAGATACAGCCGGTCTATATCCACAACTTGGATTGAAGAACTCCCCTCAGGTGTTGCATACTTGTACTATAAACTTGACATAAATGACCATAGTTTTCTTTTACAGGGAGGCATAGTAATGCTAGTATGCTTATTCATTTTTTGGGTTCTGGTCAACTATATGTAAATGCCTATGGATTTTCAGGTCTATGAGACTTTAGAGCATCGAATGGTTGTGGCTGAAGCAGCTCAAAGACTGAGGCTTCCTCTTCTCTCCAAAGATGGTGAAATTCATAAAGAAGATATTGAAAAGTTGAGTGCAGCATCTCGAAGCTCGCTGGACAGTACTAGTACCAGCAGCTCAAGCATTAATCCTAATCTTACCACTCCAAATAGCTCTGTTGGCAGTGCCGCTACTGCTCTAGCTGCTACAGATCCAGGAGAACTTGGAGTTGGTGGTGTCCCCAACCGTTTTCTTGGGATCACGCCTGCTTATTTGTGGCAAACTCAGCTTCAACAAACACCATTATCTGTGGTATACTATGTAACTCAGAATATGTGTTAGGTTTCAAGCACACTCTTTCTTAGGTTTACTTTGAACTGACTAACTTGGTTTTGTCTTCAAATACTGAAGTGTTGAGCATTTGTGTGTTTAGGACATGACAGAGTATCGCATGTCTCTCTCTCGGGAGATAGAGACTCGATTGAAGGTGAAATGCGATAAGTTAGCAGATGCCTTTGAACTGGATGACATTGGTAAGTGTTTTATATGCTTCAGTTCTCCTATTTAAGTTTCATTGCCCCCGATATATTTCATTAACTGGATACTACTGAAAAATGTGATCATACATGTACTTTGTTTATATCATTTACTTTTTTAGTGATCCTCATACTGATTCCTGATTTCATGATCCAGATTCTTCACCATCAGGAAGTCCAAGTACAAGGCTTCCAGAAAGGTTTGAGCAAACTCCTGGAGCCTCGTCCTTATATTGTTTAGAATTTTCCCCTTTGCTTGCAATTGAGAAACCTTGTCTGCTCTTTTCATCAGTCAAATGAATGGTATTTTTGTTCAATTATGCAACATAGGGCCTCTACTTGAGAAGTGCATGATTGAAAGCGTTACACTGCATACGCTTCATTCTTAGGTGCAGAAAAATTGACTAGATGGTATAATTTATGCCCCGAAGTATCATTTTTATAATTTGGGGAAAGTTGTCTGATGATACTAATTCTATTTTCATGCAGATATGAGAAGTGTTCAATGATGGAAAATTGACCGTAGTAACTGACCTAGCTAATGATAAATAGGCAGATTTTCCTTTAATATTGATAAACTGAGTAATTTGGATCCAGTTCTGCTGGTTTCTTTAGCTGCGTTAGATGGAGGATTTATCTATATATAACCTGTGTTTTCTTTGACTTCTAGGCGATATCCTAGTTCATATTTTTAATTACTTATGCTAACTATGTATACTGAGCTAATGAGCGTCTTCTTTTTAATATGAAGTAAACACTGCAGCATTAATTCTTCCCATGTTCCAGTAGCTGTAAGTTCTGTGCTGGACCTCTCCATAGACTACAATTTCTCACTCTTCATATCTACTCTTTTACCAGGGTGAAATTGTTGATTGAGGAGATTGAAAGAGAAGAAACAGCACTAAGGGACGACCTTTATTCTGCAGATAGAAAATTTGCTGAATATTATAATGTACATGCTTGGTCATTTTGTAGAATAACCCTTCTGAAATCACATCTTGAATCTCTGTTTGTGTGTTGGGGCATGCATTCCATTTGCATTTCTTTTCAGTGTTATGTGGATGCTGAAACCGTTATTCTCAATTAGGTCTTGGAGCAGATACTTGGAGTGCTTATTAAACTAGTTAAAGATTTGAAGTTGCAGCATCAACATAAATACGTGAGTATCATCAATATATTAATGTATAATATAAAATTTATAAGAAACCATACTATTTATAAACCATGAGTAAATAATGTTCACCTTGGACTCCATGTGAAGCATATGGTGCCCAGTCTTGTTTAATATTATCTATTTTGATAACCAAGGTTGTATTGACTAAGTTCAATGTATATGTAGGATGAGCTGCAGAAGACTTGGCTTTGTAAGAGATGTGAGACCATGAGTGCAAAATTGAGGTTTGTTTGCCGTATGCTACTTTCATCATTTCTTTGTTCTTTATTTTTCATATGATTGTTGTACTTTTTTAGACCCCAAAAAAGGGGCGTGAATTACCAAAGGTGGATAGAAAACATTGCTTCTCTTAAAGGGTTAAAGATGGAAGAAAGTAAACATGGAAATCTTTAGTACTTAGCATCTCGGAAAAGTGAGACTGACCCTTTTCGTTGCAGGAACAGAATGATTCTATGCGCAAAATAATATTGTTTCCAAATTTAAATCATTTGGTTGCAGTTTTGTTGCGTTGCATTCATCTCTTAACTATGGGTTTCGGTAAATTATTTACTTAACAGTTGGAGGATATTGTTATGTAATCAACCTGCAAGGTAATATGTTGAATTGTATAGTAGTAGCAGGACATCTCAATCTCATTGCTTGGCAAATTAGTTCCAAGAAGATATTGTGCTAAATGGGACATCAAACATTAATTAATTAAATATTATTAATCTGCTTGAGCCTACATTGAACATTTTGAAAAAATGCAGTGTTAAAGAAACTTTAGTGTCAGGATATGGATTTCATATTTTATTCCCAACAAAACATTTGGGGGATTTATGCTGTTTGATAATTGAAATCAAAGTCAAAATCACTATTAAACTAAGGGCTATGTATTACTACCGTTGTGCTAAATGGCAAGATTTTGGTGAGGATAATCTGGAAAGAGAGAAGTGTGAATTATGTTGGGGGTAGTAACTGAAAGGGAACAAATATGTTGCTTCTAGACGCAATCTGGTATTTCATTCTGAATGAAGTGTTCTAATAGCTGCAAACTTTTTATTTTTCGAGACTATTTTTATCAGCAATTTTAATTCTTGCCAAGTTCTGTTCTCTGATATATGAGCTATTTGCCATTTCAATTCAGGGTTCTTGAACATGTTCTTCTGCTTGAAACTTACACTCAGGATTCTATTCCCGCCCTTCATAAGATAAGGTATCAAAGATAGCTATACCTCTTTTAACTTCATAGCCTGTACTTGGTTTGATATTAATCATCCTTTTTCTTACTGGTTCTAGGAAGTATCTTGTGGAGGCTACAGAAGAAGCTTCTATAGCATATAATAAAGCGGTATAATTCCTGTTTCCTCTAGTGTTCTTTTGGCACGAAGGCGCAAATTCGTTAGTGCAGAATATTATGTCACTGTTATACTTTGAATCATTGGATTATTGGATTCCATGACATAATCTGCTTATCCAATCCCCAAGACGTGATCTACCTTTTGTGCTAGCCTCAAATATTCTTACGCAATATGGTTTTAGTTTCATCTGATGCGGCGGAGCTTATGTTTATCAGTGTTATGATAATATGATTACCTTTACATCCATCTAGTTTGTCTTTATAGATTATATATGAATCTGTTTTACCAGGTTACTCGTCTCCGTGAATACCAAGGTGTCGATCCTCACTTCGACAACATTGCAAGGCAATACCATGTTATTGTGAAGGTGAATATTTATTTGGCTTATCAGTTACTCCCTCTGGCCGCACATTAATTTTTTTCCACATGTGCCCCCAATTTAATGTTTGAATTTCTATCTTATATTTAATGTTATTAATTATTACTCCCAATATGATGAAGGGCATAATTGCGGTAATGTAATAAATGCACCAAACATGAGCCGTTTGTTTCTCACTCTCTCTTGTCCTACTTATAAGATTCAAAATTTAAATTGGTTTGGTCTTTTATAAGATCCTACTAAGAATTGTTTGAACATTAAATGTGTTTTTTATCAATTTTGATCCTAATTAATTTTCTATTCTCGCTCCTCATTTTTTCTCATGCTTCATTCTCTTTCATCTTTTATCGCATTGCTAATGTTTTCTCTCTTTTTACTCCCTCGTTAAATAAGAACATATTTGGGGGAAAAACAGGCTTAATTTTTTTACATATTTATTGCTTTTAAGTAATTTTAATTGTTCTCTCAAACCTCATAATTTAGTTAATAGAATCTTATAAAAAAGATAGGAGAGAATATAATTTAGAGCAAAACAAGTCTCCCAAAATTCTCTTATATTCAAGACTGGAGGGAGCATAACATTAGTAGATGTTCTTTGTCTCACCAAACCCATAACACACTCCCACACTTCATATGTGTCTGTCATTACTCATTACCATGGTCAATTGGGTAATTGACTTTCACAGAGGATGGTGCTATGGGGATTTCTTACGCTTATGATTCTTTACAGAAATTGGAGAATATGAAATGGACAATTCAGCAAGTGGAAATGGACCTGAAACGCTTGCCAGATAACCCAGGCACCTAGAATACAATATATGGTACTGTTTAATTTTGTATTAGAAATATTTCTGTCTACTTGGTAACAGCCAACAAGGTTTGTAAATGAACATGAGGCTTTTCTTCTTTCTTTTTTGCTTCTTTCTTTTCTTATTTTATCCAATCCTGGTTTGGCTAGATAAATGTTGATTTAAATGCCTAGCTCTGAGGCATTTAATGAGATTTCAATTTTCATAGGTTTTATTTTTAATTTTTTTAAAAAGTGCCAATGTCTTCTCGAATGGTTGGTCACTGCCAATGTTATAGGAAAACGGTATCATCAATGCATATTCATAAATATTTTGATAAAATAAAATGGTTTGTTGGCCAAAGCCATAACGAGCAAGGCTTTCATCTCTTTTGTAGCAAGAAGAAACAATAATACAGAAACAGCACTCAACTTATAGGGTGAGATATAAATTGATTTAGTTTTCATTTTCTAAAGAAGTGAATGGTGATCATGAGAACTTCAGTGGCATCTACTTTACCTGTGTCTCAAAACTCACGCAGATTTAAGATTGTTGTGTTTTTTTCCTGGTAAAACTGGAAAAGAAAATTTTTTTTCCCCTTTTCAGGCAAAAGGGAGGGAGGCAAATGGATGACTGAGTTCTAGCGGGGATCACACGCTGGCTCCCAACTTCCCATAAAAAGGTGAAAATAAAAAATCAAAACGTTGAGTCAAACTGTTCCATTTGGTCCTTGTTATCCAATAATTTTTTCCCCTCCACTTTGTCCGGTAAATTTCTATCTGTCTCTCCCAACACGTTTTCAAGTTAAAATATACATAAAAATCCCTTTCTTATTTTTAATATTTTACTGATACGAAGCAGATCAGAAGGTCCCCATCCAAGCTGATTATGTACAGGCTTCTTCAATAACAGCTTTTGTGTTAAACAAACATTAAAAAAAGAGAATAATAACAACAACAACAATAAGAATAATAAAGGGAAGAACCTCGGTTATTGGATAATCTCAGAATTTTTTGGCCAAATAAAAAGAAAAATCCCCAGAAATTGGCGTTTCTGGATGCTTCTGTCACTCTCTCCACCACACAAACCTACCGATGTGGGGGCCCCAACCGTCAACTCGCTTTATGCCCGTTTCCTATTCTCACGCCTTTGTTGCTTCCCGGGGGCCGCGTTCATCCTACGCTTTTCTACCTTTTTGACTCTGGAAAAAAAAAAAGTTAATTAATTAAAACAAAATCCAAAACTGCACGTATCATCAAAAGAGAATTGTAATGAAATTAAATACAAAAAGATTTCTTAAAATCATGAAATTATTTTAAAGTCTCAAAAAAAATTTTACAATAAATTTTATTTGTTTAATTATCAAATTACGCTTCTTCTTTTTTAAGTTTGTATTGACAACTAAAAAGAGCTGTAAGTGACAATTTAGGATGTAAGGATTGACAACTATCTCAGCTGGTTTGACAATATATTTTCTTAGCGTATCATAAAATGTAACGCACAAGTTGGCAAGCCATCTGCGATATTTGTGAATCTTTATACCCTAAGTTGTCAAGCACTACTCTTTCAGTTGTCACTGCAAACTTTAAAAAAAAGAGTAATTTAGTAATTAAATAAATAAAATTTATTATAAAAAGGTCTTTTGAGAATTTAAAATAATTTTATAATTTTAAGAAACCTTTTGATATTTAATTCTTTCATGTTGGATCTGATTGCAATTCTCCCCATAATCAAATAAGTTAATTAAAAAAAATGAAAATTGAATATATTCATTCGTGAAAATTCGAAGGAATCAGGACCATCCACGTGTACGATCTCACGTTTAGTGTTTGGTACCTTCCAGCTCAGGTCCTTCGCAACTGGGGGGCTCCTTCCTCGTCGCCTTCACCCCCTGCTCACGCCTATATAGAACCCCCCCGCGCCCGTTGTGTTTACTCATACGCTTTCTGTTGTCTGTTCTCGAAGCTTACTTGCTCTCGAAACTTCCCTGCTTTTCAGGTTCGTCTTTCTAATTGTTCCTCCTCGCCATGTTATCTGTTTCTAGTCTTTCGATCTTATGGTTCTGTCGTCGGATTCTGACCTCGTATCTTATTCTTGGTTTCGATCTATCTGTGAGTTGTCTATGTTGCGTTGTTGGAGAATATGGGGTGATCATTCTTTTTCTTCCTGCCGTAGGAGTTTAGTAGAGTCCTTTTTTTTTTTTTAACACCGTGGACATTTTCCTGAGTTATTTGAAATTTCCTTTTAAGTTCGGTTTTCTCTTTGGTGTTTGAAAGATTTGTGTGTTGAGTTGCTCATGTAAAGCTGTGTGATTATTCTTCAGGCCTTCCTTTGACAGAGTTCCTTTTCAATAATATGAGTTGGAATTACGATCCTCGAACCTTTAGTGTCTATGTTTTTAGGACGAGTTTCGTCGGTTTGTTCTTTATAAATCGGATTTAACGCGCGGCAAATTTTCCTAGGGGGAGTATGGGGGAGTTTTTGTGGATTTCTTACTTGATTATGATATGAATAGCTCACGAAATATTTTCTGTTCCTTGCAGTCGCTTTCTGCGTTCTCTAGGTCCACAAGAGCTCACTAAACAAGGTACATGGTTGATTCGGAAGTTCCGATTCCCACTCCCTTTGATCCATTCGCTGAAGACAAAGAATCGGATGCTCCGGGAGCCAAAGGGTATGTGCATGTCAGGATACAACAGAGGAATGGAAAGAAGAGTCTGACCACCGTTCAAGGACTGAAGAAAGAGTACAGCTACGAGAAGATCCTCAAGGACCTCAAGAAGGAGTTCTGCTGCAACGGCAACGTTGTGCAGGACAAGGAGCTGGGCAAGATCATTCAGCTTCAGGGTGATCAGCGCAAGAACGTCTCTCAATTCCTGGTCCAGGCCGGTCTGGTCAGGAAGGACCAGATTAAGATTCATGGTTTTTAAACTTTGAGGTTCTGCTTACCGGTAGCTTGCGACAATCAGGCGGGTGGGTTCGTTTCGTGTATTTATCTTTTTGTGTGTGAAGTTCGATGAGTGAATTTGAAATAATTATAAGTGATTTTTCTCAAGTTATAGCGGATGTAATATGGATGGATGTAGGAAGCCCACCTTGTGTTCAATAATAATACATTATGATACTATCATTTGGAGGAGATTCTCGTGTGTTTGTTCGTTTCATTCTGATCTTTTATGGTCGAACTTGAACTTTCGGACGGTGAAGTCGGTGGCTTGGATCTAATTCGAAGGAAAAGAAGAAAAAAGAACGCGTGACGTGCGATGTTTGTCTTGTTCTCTATCGCGCTTAAGAGTTTCAAGTAAAAAATGGCGGAAAGTAGAAACAACTTGGTTCTATTCGCACCGCCCGTGACTTGAACAGACCCCTCTTACGCGGTTGGGTGTCGTCGACAGGTATATGCCATTAGCAGCGTGTATGATGCTTGTGCGCATCTCTGTTCTGCATTCTTTTTGAAAAAGGGTCTCGACAATATGAAATTTAAAATCTCTCCCCTCCTGGTTGGATGGACGAAAAAAAATTTGGGGGGGGGGGGGTAATTAAATAGAAGTAGTACTTTTTGAAAGATTTTGTTTGTATTATTTTTTTCCCTCTCTGTTTTCCTTTCCTATGCAAGAAAGAATCTGGAACTCTATGGAGGCTGGGATCAATGACTCCGCCCCCATAAGCGTGCCTCAAGGAGAAATGACTCGTTTAATACTTCTTTATCATACTGTAGGTGGGTATTCTTTTCGGGCGATCAATTTTTGTAAGATGTTGATTTGTTTTCCAAGATAATCTTCTCTTACAATTTTGATCTGATTTGGAAGGGAAAAAAACTTCGACATCGTGGTCAATAACAAGAGAGCACCATATAAACCAAGACGCATGGACTTTAAAGCGGTTTTCTTCTCTCAATCCATGTTCTTCACAAGTACTGGTTTTCATTTAATTTCAAGCTTTCACAAACTTCCAACTCATCGCTGAAAGTCGCCTTTTGTTAACCTTTCAAAACAGAACAAGAGAAAGACTCACAGAATTCTTTGATCCAAAAGGTCGAGCACTGATTATTCAAAAGGTCCACCATTGACTAATTGCTTCTGCCTCCATCATACCATGATCAGGTTCCTTCCATCCATGGAGGCCTCTGAATCCAATAAACAACTTTCTATGGCAACTCATTGGAAAATGTCTTGCGTTTTTTTTTTTTTTTCCCGTAGGTAACATCATGTTATAACCATGGTCTTAAAAACCAACTGCTTAGAACATTTCAAGATCCACGGTTTTTGACATCTTAATTTACTGTTTTGGCGGCCCACCTTTGCTTTCTCTCCTTGCGAAGAACGAAGAACCTCGTTAAAATTCTTCCGCAGTGAACTTAGATACGATTTTATTAAAGATTGGATTAATTTTGTTTCTCTTTGATATTTAGGGTTCGTCTCTATGTTTATATTTGTAGAATATCATATAATTAATGTGTTTACATATCACATATGATATAAATATTTCCTGCACAAAAGCTTCAAACTTTATGTTTCAAGGATTTCCTGCACAAAAGCTTCAAACTTAATGTTTCAAGGATTACGTTTCTCTTGAAAATTTTGAAGACCATTATAGAATATTATTCAAGCAAGTAGAGAAAAAAAATTTCTGAATTTGTTTCAAAATTAAAGAAATACGATTAATCAAAATATTATGATTCAAATGAAATAGTCCAACCTCTCATAGACTTGCAACACCCTCCGGATTGAGAAAAGCTACTAATATACATGAGGAAAAATTCGTTATTGCAAAATTTTATTGATGAGAACAAACTTTTATGCCGATAAATTTTTATATGCAGAAAATACTGAATATCAGTACTATGATTTAAGTCATCTTTACCTTAAAGTTTTCAAAGTTCCTTTTCCCAATTTTTTATATAAACACTATAAAAACTTTTGGGTCAAGAGTCATTTTTTATTAAAAAATTCTCGTGAAAACACTATGCATGCTCGAAAGTTTTTTTGACTCTTGGACCTGAAAGTATTAAAAAAAAGGAAGCAATGTTGTCCTACTCCAATAAGAATAAACTCCTCAAAGAGGGTCTCTCTAACTCTTCATTTTTTGGTTCTTGTCCACCGAATTTACTAGATTTAGTGGCTAGCGAAAGAGTGGGATCTGATTCCCCCAAGAGTTGATCTTTTTTGGTTTTGGACTTTTGTCCTCTCTTGTACCCAAAAAAAAAAAAAAAAGAATAAACTTCTATAATCATAAAGTTACATATATAAATAGGGTATGGACCAGTTTTTTTCTCAGAACCATTTTTTTAGCAAGCCAAAGTAAAATTCTCCTCACATTATTATATTGTACATCCTAAAAGCACTTCCAAAATACAGATGAGGGGCACTTTTCAAGCTTCAGCAAACTGGATCCTTATCCTATCCCGGAATAAAAATCACCTTTTTCCTAGGCGAGTTTCTACTTCGAAACAAGTCAACAATTAACAGACAAACAACTGGCTCACAGTTATGCTTAACCTTGTAATCGAAACAAATCTAAAAATCGAAGCTTTACATGCCTAAGAAATAAAATGACATGTTTCAGTAATATTTGGGTCCAAAATTATGATTGAAAGGACTGAATCTCTTCGCAAAAGTAGTTTTTTTTTTTTTTTTTACACTCAGGGTCTCAAATACAGCAAGCTCGAGCAACTTATAGTGTGGTTCAGAATAGCTTGCCTTGCGGGGTTCCACTCCTCATCATTGCACAGAATTCTTCATAATTGATCCTACCATCCTGAAAACCCATAAAAGATTCAGCATAAATTATGGAGCTATAACACCAAAATATAGCCATATAACTAATAAAGTGATTGATTACATTATCTGTGTCAACTTCTGATATGATTTCCTTGATTGTGCCTTCATCGCCCATGCCATATTCTTTCATGGCTGTTTCAAGTTCATCCCTTGTTATGAATCTGCAATGAAATTAAACAAAGAATGTATTAATGCTTCAGAAAACCCAAATACACTCATTTAGCATGATTTTGAATTAAGTGTGTTCCTTTACTAAACAGTACACATTATCAGTTATCTTAGGAATACGAATAGTGAATAGAAGAACTCACCCACTGTGATCTTTATCAAAATACTGGAAGGCTTTGTAGAGATGTTCGTCTCTTTCTAATCTATGTCTATGCATTGTGGCAGTGATAAACTCTATGTAGTCAATGGTGCCGTTTCCATCTACATCAGCCTGAAATTTTGGCAAAGAAATATCATTTTGCAAGATCTCAGAGAAAACTATTTTGAGGGTATGAAATTGTTAAATAACAATATCTTACAGCTTCCATAAGCTGCTTCACTTCAGCCTCTGTGAGCTTTGAGCCAAGTCTCTGCAATCCCTCCTTTAGTTCCTCATAGGTGATCGTACCGCTGTTGTCTGTATCCATATTTGTAAACATTGCCTTCAACCCTTGGATCTCTTCTTCAGAGAGATTTTCCGCAATGACCTAAAAGAATTTAGCATCATAAACACAACAGTGAAACACTTGAATATTGTCTCTCTAAGTATCTAACCATGTTAGTGGTTCCTTCATAATTCGCAGCAAACAGCACAGTAGCTAAACTTTTCACAACCAGTGGATTGACTTACCTTCAGGGCAAGTTTCTTTAGCTTATTCATTGCTCTGAATTGCTTCATTCTGGAAAGGACTGCACTATCTATCGGCTTATCAGATGCATTTCCATCTTCTCTAATCCATGGATGCTCTATTCAGCCATATAATAGATTAATTCAGTTAGTTGAGAAATGAATATGAATTAAAGAAGAAAATATTCAAGAATGTTAGTCCACATGACAGTGAAAGTAATTAGAATTCAGTAAGCCTTGTAAAAGAATATTACATGATCAATATCTTCATCTTCAATTATTTCTCTCTTTTCTCTTCTATTATTTGACTTAAATACACTTTAAACAAATCTAGCCAATGGAAAAGAATAGTATACTAGTGAAATTAGAGTTCCCATGTAAGAGGTTAAACCATCTAGGATTTACGCATAACAAATGCTAAGTTGAATGCTCAATGACAGGTGATCATAACCACCTTGTGCCTGTATTTCCATAATTTTTTTTTTTTTTTTGGGGTCGGAACTCTGGCTTGTCACGAGTATACCTGTGGATCAGACTCATGAAATGATATCATGAGAACTTTTCCAGGCCAAATCACAGAAGTAGAGAATGATGACATTCTAAAGATTCCTCTGCATGTGGAAGGTTACAGTTTCTTGAAGTGACATGACAAAGAGAGAACAACAAAAATTACATACCTAGAACCTGAGCAGAAGTGATGCGCTTTTTTGGGTCTTGAGTCAGCATCTTACGAACAAGATCCTTGGCACTGTTTGATATGCTTGGCCATGGTTGACTTTCAAAATCAATATGACCTTCCAAAATGGCATCAAATATTCCCTTTTCCGTCTCTACAGAACATATGTGATAGAAGTTAGTCAAGCTATAAAAGTCATGGAGAAAACGGAAAGTAAAGAACAATAGGCTCTAATAGAGCACAATAATCCCATTATGAAAAGGAATGTCGCTGTTTACCAGCCCAAAAAGGAGGTACACCACTGAGTAAGATATACAATATCACTCCTGCACTCCATATGTCAATTTCCTTCCCGTATTTGCGCCGTAGGACTTCAGGAGCAACATAATAGGCACTCCCAACTATATCCTTATAAACCTTTCCTGAGGAGAAGTAATTTATGAAGAGATAAATCATCTTATCGGGGGGGAAAAAAGTAACTGTAAAACATAATAGAAATGCACATTTTCTTTGTAATTTTTCACATGACATCTGAGGCATCTTTTAGGTTATGTGGAGCCCTCAATTCCCAACATATACACATCATTGAGAGTCCAAGAATTTCATAAAACCCAAGATCTTAACTTGTATGACACATGGAATGAATGAGAATACTCGGTTCTAGTTCTGTTGACTTCTGATTTGGTTCACAAACATGGCTTTTTATAAGACTAATTATGAATACGATGGAGTATCTAAATACATATTTGCCTATCAAGTATCATGTTGCTTCTTGTTTTATGCATCTACCACTTCAATAATGATATGATTATGAAAGCTAACAATTAGCATTATATATTTACCTAGCAGAAATGAGACAGAGGTAAAAGATCAACTTAAGCAGAAAGCTCAAGATATTCTAATAAATTTGAAGGCTTAATTTATCTAGAGGAATAAATCTAATGACTAAAACCCAAGGAGACATAATTTTTCAGCACCAACTTGTAAATTCATTTAAACAAATGACCAGTGATGGGGAAGAAAATTTTACCTTCCTCAATAAAAACGGACAAACCGAAATCTGTGGCTTTGAGAAGTGCCTTTTCATCCTTACTGGACAACAAGAAATTCTCAGGCTTGAGATCTCTATGCATCACACCCATAAAGTGGCAGATATGAACAACATTAACAATCTGTCTACATATAGAAGCGGCAGCTCTTTCACTGTAATGTCCCTTGGCAATAATCCGATCAAAGAGCTCACCCCCTGCACACAGCTCCATCACAAGATGAACAGACTGACTATCTTCATAAGCACCTTTGAACTCCACAATATTAGGCTGCCCACTCAAATGCTGCATAATCTGAATCTCCCTCTTCATATCCTCCTTATCAGCTCTGCTTGTAAGCTTCCTCTTCGAGATTGACTTGCAAGCGTACGATCTACCCGTTGAAATCTCAGTGCAGAGATAGGTCACACCAAATTGACCCCTACCCAGTTCTTTCCCGAGCCTGTAAAATTGCTTCACATCTTCAAATTGCTTCCCCAGAATCGTACTGTGGCCGGTCTTACTAGGATATAGGGAAGCCCTAGAAGAGGGCTTTTCGGGTAATTGATACGGCTGATGAGAAGTGGGTTTCGGTTGATTTCCATGGGGTTCATGGGTTTTGTAATTCTGGGCTCCGGTTCCCCCAACTGATCTGTATCCATTATAGTCTCGCTCTGAATCTTTGTTTTTACTCAAACACAGACCCATTTCCGATGAGATACTCAGAAGAAACCTCTTGAAGCTGATTCAGTTAAGAACAGGGGGGGATACAGAGAACTACAAAAGGGTCAGATCAGAAATCTGGACACCAATACAGATCGTTGTGAAAGTCAAAAAAACGGTGATTAAGCAGAGGAGAAAAATAAAATAATAGAGACAAGAAGACGGAGTCAAAAGGATGGATAGAGACGAAGATGCGAAGAAGGCGACGAGACAAGGAAGGAATAGCCAAGTTTGATCCTGAAAGGAAGAAAAACTTGAAGAACAAGGGATGAAAGAAAATTATACTTTTTGAAATGTGTGAAAGTGAAAGGATATGAAGAGGGAAAAAAAGGAAGTGGATGATGGATTGAGCAATTAACAATGTGAAAACAAACGGAGTAATAACAGTCTTTCACAAGAAGACAGAACAGAAAACCTCCATTAACACGCAACAGAGAGAATTAGAAATGCAAAACTTGAAGTGGCCACAACCCAAATATCATTCTCTTGCGTGATTTTCTAGTGTTAGTTCTATGCTGGCAAATAGAAAGAAAGAAAAAGAAAAATCTTAACGCGTTGAAGCAGAAGCAGCTAAGCAAGCCTTCCAAGTTCCAACTAACTTTCACTTGAGACAGTTAATTTGTTGGCGGAGCCGCGTACGAGTAATTTTCGTTTAGTTTTTACATTTTGAGTTTTGACCGTAGCGTTGATTATGAAGTAACCAGAAGGAATGTAATTAAAAAAATACTCCTCCGGTCCTTATTATAAGATCCCATTTGACTTTTTATTTAGTCCTAATTATAAGACCCCAATCCATTTTGTCTCTTATATTTATGCATTTTTTTTCAAGATAATCCTTCTAATAATGATAGTTTTAGCCAATACTTAATTAGCAAGGATATTTTAGGAATGACAACACTTATTTATTATAAATAACCAACTTAACTTACTTCCTTAATCTCCTCAAATAAGTCAATTGGGTTTTATAATTAGGACTGAAGGAGTAATAATTACTCCCAAGAGTTGGAATTTCAATGGTAAATATAAGATTTTAAACTATTTTTGTAAGGAAAAAAATCATTTTTTCTCACATATTTTTATTTTTTTAATTTTTTTTTGTTGATTACACATGTTAAAAAAATTGACAGTAATAAAAGAATAGTGCCGAGTATCATCAATAATTAAAAGAAATGTTTTAGAAAAATCAATATATATTTTTTTACAAATAAATAATTTAATTAGGCTTTGAAATACCAAAAAAAAAAGCATTTGCATTAAAGATTTTAAATCACACACGAAACCATTTTATAAAAAAAAAATTTTCGATATCTCAGGTCAAAAGAAATCTCAGTATCAACTTTTCATTAAATTAAAATATTTAATAGAAGGAGTCATCAACAATTCGGACTTTGATATAAACATGTTTAGCTGTCACCTTTGACGCGTAATATTTTAAGCGTAGTTAAGATTATTAAAACTGTTGGTTTAGTAATGCAAATATCATCAACATAAGAGATAAATAAAATTAATAATAAATGTACATTAGAAAAGTAAGCTTGTTCTTTGACGTGGATGGTGATAAAAATTTCATATTTACAATTAAAAATGGCTGCTTCTTTTTTTTTTGTTTATTTAATTTATCGATGCAAGTTTTTTCGGTCAACATGACAAGGTGAGTTGAGTGGAGTTTATCCAGAAGATTTAATTAATTTAATTAATTTAATTTATGAAAGTCTAAAGAGCAATTGATGATTGGGTGAGCGAAAGTGATGATGCCGCACAAACAACAGAAAAATAAAAAGGGGAATTATATAAGCAAATGGTTCCTTGGTCCCGTGAATCTTTGTGGATCTTTCTTTTTCAAAAAATTGGAAAAGCAAATTATGACGTCTGCATGACGTTAACCCGAAAATCACGCGCATAAATCTTACATTGACAGGCGGCATGTTTGAATTTTTTGGCTTATACCAAGATGTAGTATAATCGTTAAGTTTATAAAACACTCGATGCTTCTTATAAAACGCAATTAATTAATTTAAAAAAAATTAGTTAAATTAGTTATTTATATTAAATAAATATTTTTTAAAATACGCTAATAATGATTATTAGCTACAACTACTATTTAACGATCTTACTTTAAAAAATAGATAAGTATGATAAATAAAATAGATCGGGATTTTATATTTAAGACCAAACAGAATCTCAAACTAGTTTTTATATTAAAAATTGAAAATAATATATTTTTAGTTTTTAAATTTTAATCATTAATCTTTTTAATAACAAATGCTTACTATGCCAGCAAGAGTTGATAAGAAGTCGGCTAATAATCTATAAGGTTGTGAGGTTAAATCCCACTCCTGATTTGAGACTCCTAAACCCAACTCGTATAAATTTTTTTGTATGGAAAAAAAATGCTGACTACCAACCAAAAAAATGTTAAACAAATTTAAAATGATAACTCTGTAATTAAATGGAGGCAAAACACACTTTGTGTGTAAAAATTTATATAACACTGGTATTTTTCATATAAAAAATTTATCAAATCATTCTTATTGATAAAAATTTTAAGGAAGGATTTTTTTTCCATCAATTTTCCCAGCTAAATTTGCAGGTAATAATGTAGTCAGATACATTTTACATTACTTCCGATTCTTAATATAAGATTTCATTTGACTTTTAGTTTGATTCTAATTATAAGATCCCAATCTATTTTGTCTCTCATATTTATGTATTTTTTTCTCAGGTAGTCCTTCTAATAATAATAGTTCTAACTAACACATTTGATTAGTAAGGATATTTTAAAAAAAATAATACATATTTATTATAAATAATTAAAGAGTAAGGAAACTTCGCTCACTTTATTTTTATTTGGATCATCTCTTTTCAGGTCATCGACACGTTATTGAAAAGTTCAAACCTAGATTTCTCAAAAAGATGAAGGTAAAAAATTATTAACAAAAGATGTACAATAAATGTCGACAAAAAGAGATGTTTCATAATGAAATTAAGGATTTCAAAAGATTAAGGATTAAGTGCACATGGTACCGAGTGGAAAAAAAAAATCAATAGATTTTTAGTTTTACTTGGTGATGTTGTGCGCACGTAAACAAAAGCGAGCACATTTTTTTTAAAAAAAAAAGAGTAATTATTGTAACTTTATGTCAATATATCCTGATCCTACTTTTAAATTATTGATCATCTCAGAGTTTGGAATTTGAGAAAAGTGTTTTTAAAAAATATTTTTTTACAAATCAAAATAAACTCTTCTACATATTTAATTCGTATGCTGTAAAATTATTTTTAAAACCATGATTTGGGTTTCATCTAAATACAAAACCCATTATAAAATATAATTATTACAAAATAAATTTTACATTTAGCCCGGAAAAAGTATAAAGTAACTCTTTTTTTCCACCAAAAAAAAGGGCTTACATGGACGAATTTCGACCTCTCAATGGAGCTTCAATTCCTAGATTTAATACTTTTTTCAATATTTCAGGTCTGAATTTTTTTAATATTATTTGTGTTTTTTTTAGTTATAATATACAGTCATCTTCTTCCTATTATATTACATTTGAGGTTTAGAACACTACGGGGAAAAAAAACTGCTAAATTCACCTATCTATAAAATCACCTCTTTTTCATTATTTTTCTTTCTGTTTAATACCATTTTTTGTAGCAAGCGTACCTTAAAAAAAATAAAATTTGAGCAGCCCAACATGCTAACATTATTAGCACATGGTACTAAGTAATAAATTACATTACATTATCTATTAATTATGGTAGCTTTTGAAAAGTTATTGTCTCATTTTGAAAGTAATCAACCTAAAAAGGAATATGAATTATTAATTACTCCTCCGGTCCTAATTATAAGACCCAATTGACTTATTTGAGGAGAATAAGGAAGTAAGTTAAGTTGGTTATTTATAATAAATAAGTGTTGTCATTCCTAAAATATCCTTGCTAATTAAGTATATTGGCTAAAACTATCATTATTAGAAGGATTATCTTGGAAAAAAATGCATAAATATAAGAGAGAAAATGGATTGGATCTTATAATTATGACCAAATAAAAAGTTAAATTGGGTCTTATAATAAGGACCGGAGGAGTATATGGATAAGAATAATGGGAACTTTAATTTGTTACTATAATTAATTAAAAATATCACATTAGGGTGGTGATGATAGTGATGGCTTGTGGCTGCTCATCCAAGTTCAACTCGTCCCCCATGTGATCAGCATGGTGTACTTTAAATCATTTGCTTATTATATTATTATATCACATTAATAAGTGCCTTTGTTTTAAGTACTTAAATCAAATTTAAAAGCACTTTGAATCATTGGGTTCCTCTTATTGGGAACACCTCAGTCATGCCATGTTCTACTTTTTTTTTTTTGCAATTTTTAAATAAAAATAATATATATTTGTTAACTTAAATTTATAAAATGACTTAATTTAATATGATCTAGATTGGATATATATTTTCTGACAAGAAATTAAATATACATATTGAAATTATTGAGAAAGATGAAAAAAATGTATGGTTGTTTACAATCATATTAAACTTTTGGATTATTTTTTGTTCAAAAACGTATTTTGTTTCTTATAGTTCAAAAATGTTTGTGTTAAGAAGTGATGGCTATTTTATTTGTAAATAGTTATAACCATTTATTCTCGTTTTTTTTAAGGATTTATACTATATTTTTTGAATATGTATATCTTAAAATTTCTATTTTGTTTGCATTTTACTATGTCAAATTTGACAAGTGTTCCCGGCTTCCTGTGTGCATGTGGCGTGGTTAGTCTATTCCCTATTTCTTCTTCTTTTATCTTCTTCTTTTCTTTTCCTTTTTTTTTTTTTTGGCCGAAAGGCCATAGTAATAAGTGTAGGTTAGCTAACAGAGACCTACCAGGCTTGTTGCAGAGCATGATTCAATTAACTTTTCAATTCAATAATATTTATCAATTTATCAACTGTATTTAATGTTTTTTTCCATTATATTAACTAAATATGGAAAAATAAATTGCAGACTATAAATTGTTAAAAGCATCTCTCTCTCTCTCTCTGTGTGTTTGCTGTGCCTGTCATCCTTCATGGTGTAATTGAAGTTCCTATTTTATTTTTTTGAATTTATTTTATCGTATAATTAAATCATTATTATCATCAATGTAAAGTATAGCATCTGTTATACGTTATTATTATTATTAAATACACATCCTCTGGAGATTAGAGCCATTTATGTTGCAAAAAGGCCCATCTTCAAAAGCTGTTGGGTCTAATAACAAATTTCGAAAATCACTGGCGTTGTGATCAGGCCCTTCGCCTAAGTCAATTAATAATGTATTTACTATTTATAACAAATATTATTTCCAGTCTTAAATATAACAATTAGTTTGAAATTTAATTTTATCATAAATATATTATATTAATTC